AACAGCTTGCTACCTGCAGTAATTATAAACTGGTCTGTCATTTTAATTCTTAATTTGGAGCACTGTAGTTAAACAGCCTGCCTCCTTTAAACATTATCAAAATACTCACTTGTTTTCATTATCTGAACACTCCACTAAGGCAACCAAATCATTGTTCCAAACATAAGAGGCCAAGAACAAGACAATCCAAGAAATGAGGGGGAAAAAAAACCCAGCTTGCCTTGCAAATTCCAGTTTAACACAGCACAGTAAAGTGTCATGAATGTAAGTTGAATACCTACACATTATATAAATATTATATATATATATATATATACTATGCACATAATATGTATACATACACATATTATACATAGGATATATATCTCAGTTTTTATTTAAGCCAGGCAGCAAGTCAATGTGATTGGTTTTATTTTCCCCATTGTATAGGTGAGAAAAATGAGGTTTAGAGATGAACTTTCCAAAGTTTACCCACTCAAATGATAAAGAAACAGAAATTAACATTAGCATTTTCTGACCCTAAACTCTTAATACCAAAATCATTGTATTCCCTCTGGCATCTTGTTAGTTTCTAGAATACCTTCCCTAGATGGATTTTCACAAGATACATGCACACAAAGTAATACCTTTGGCTAGGCTCTAATGTGTGTGCACTACAAAGTAGATAGATGAGAGTAATTATGGAGTTAGAAGGGAATACTATCTAGAGGTTTAGCTCACTCCCTATATAATTTTAGGACACTCTGACTTTGTGAGCCCATCTTGTGGGTATGGGAGCTATGGAAGATGCAGAACAAGAAGGAGCACAGTTCCTAAACACAGCCCCGCTGAGTGCCCATTACGTGAAGCTCTGTGCTGTGGCCATATGCAGAGGAGTCCTCTCTGGAAGCTGGGAACCTGGAGCCATCACATCTACTCCAGTGAGTTCTTGTTGCTCAGAACCTGTTTAGAAATTCTAGAAGAGTCCCCATTGTGGAAATTGTTTCCTTGGTAAATATTTTCATTCATTCGATTAATATTCTGCCTTCTCCACGGGTCCTATGGGTCAGGTCTAAAATTTGATGTGGGCAACAACCAAAAACAAAAAAATCAAAGTCAAGTTATTACATAAGGTTTAGGTCCAAAGAGGAAATACAATTTTTGACAGGATTGGTTCTCTGGTGTGGCTATTAAATTCTTTCAAGGCAATTCCAAAAGTTATTTTTAAAAATCAAGCTGCTGGAACAATCCATATGTTGGTTGGTCCACAGTTCTATCTTTTCTTAATCTAATGAGACATAATGAAAATTGTTTTTTTCATGGTCTAATTACCTATGCTTAATACTGAAATGTATTGTCCCCTGAAAGCTTAAGGCAACATTGAGCAACACTATTTCAATTCTAAGTTTACAGATATATATATATATATATATATATATATATATAGATATATATAGATATATATATATATATATATATATATATGTGCGCACACACACTATGTTTAATATGCTTAGTTTGGTTTCCCCTTCCCTGCTTCCCTTATTTTTATTTGTTGCTGTTCCCCCTCTCTCTCTTTCTCTCTCTCAAACACAGTGACACATATTTCATTATTTAAACTCACTTTTAGGAAACTTTGTATCAGGTTACTTTTTCTTTCAAAGGGTTGTTTTGTTGTCTGGATTTTGAGAGTAAAGATGTATCAGCTCTCACTTTCCTTAAAATGGAGATTTATCACACCATAAAAGCCTCTTCTTCCAACCAATTTCCCGGTCTCTGCTAGGGTGCTGAGCCAGTCAGAAGAAGAATCAAGTGATACTTCACTGTAACATCCCAAGCTCACAGAATCTTATCTTGTGAAGTGCATACTTTAGATTGTAACTGAAAACAGGCAAGTTTCACCTGCCTCTGGCATGACTCCAAACACTGGAAATTTTAGAATGTGCTGTTTCATGCTGAAATGTTACACAATCCCCAGAGTGCAGAATGGCCATGTTCTCACTACTGCTATGTTAGGGAGAGAGGGGCAGAGGACAATCAGGTTCCAAAATAAAGTATGTGCATTTGGGTAGCAGGAAGGTGAGAGAAGAGAGGAATGGACACCTGAATGATATTACTCAATGCAGGAATCTTCCAACCTGGAGATGAAGAAAAACAACACTGAAAAGACTTTTTAAATCTCTTGTACTGGCTCACAGAACACCTAAGAACTGAGTGAAACGCCACTCATCATTGGAGCTTGAAAAGCCTCATTATTTGTTCTCTGAAATAAAACCCTTTTGTCTGACCCGAGGATCAGAAGAAGGCAAGGTCTTGATTTTGAGCTGGGAATCAGAATCCTCTGGATTAAATGCTTTAAGAGAAGGTTCTCTTCCATTTTTCGAGTCTCATTCCTAGAGCAGCTTTTTTTCCAGAAGGATATTACAAAATCTATTTGTTCTCCATAAACACTTAAAGGATCATGAAAGAGTAAGTTACCTGCAACCCACTGCCACCCTTCAAATATAAACAAATGAACACAAAAACGTAAACCCTTTAGCCTCCAGGGGAGACTGTAGCCAGTGGTGGAAAGGCATCCTCACTGGTTAGGGTACACAAACAAGATCGACCTCTCACCACTCATTCGTTCCTTCAGCCAGTCAGCCAGCACACATTTATTCAGCACCCAACACGTCCCAATTACTTGAGCAGATGCTGTGGCAGTGGGCACCCTGGCACTACTCTCAGGGGACAACACTCCTTTTCCCTTTCCTCTGACGTTTAAAAAGCCTCAGAGAAAGATGCAGATTCACCAAGAGAAAATAACTCAGAGCAAGCATTAATTTAATTGCTGCAACAGAAATAAATCAGGCCCGAGGTGGGTACCACCAGCGAGGAGGTGCAGGGGGACATAGTTCTGCCACCGTCTGGGCCTATCACTTCGATGTCCCATGGATGCTCCAAGCTTCAGTTTTCCCATGTACAGAATAAGGGTGGAAATAATTATCCCCGGGCCTCTTACAGCGTTAAGCCTCTACTTTTCCAAGATTCTAGGGAGCTTGTTTCTTGTCCAGCACTCTGTACTCTAACGAAGCCATCATCACACGCGCGCGCGCACGCCCACACACATGTTTCAGCCTCTAGCCCCTTATCCTTTATTACTGATTGTGTGTTTAAAGTTATCGGGGTGGCCCCAGGTATGTCAGTGCTCAGACAGAACAAGTTTTCTTTCATTTTAGACAGGACTTATTCGTGCACTCCTTTACTATTGAATACTACAGTGTAACCGGCTGCCTTTACAAAGTCTGGGCAAGGAGGGGACATCTCATTTACAGATGTCAGTTCTCCTTTCCTTTGGGGACAGGGGTAAGTACCTGGAGGGGACACCATCAGCCCCTGATGTGAAGAGCTTAACATGTCAGCTTAATATGTCAAAGGGGAAACTATGCTTTCCTGGCAAGATGTCTTAGGACTTTGCCGGGCATTCTGTTTCCGCACCCTCGCACCCGCTTTCCCGGCCCGGCCTACAAGGATGCCCCAGCCCGGAAGGCAGGCGAGGCGCCAGTGTTACTCTGGGGCCACGCGCCCTGCGAGTGGGAAACCGGTGCTCTGAGACTCGCTTTGGAGGAGTACCCAAACCTACACAGGAGAGCGCTGCCCTCTAGCGGGCGAAGTGGGAGATGCAGCACGACCCGAAGGGAGGGGAGCCCTGTGACTGCGGGTCCCCGCCAAGGTTGAAGCCTTGGTCAGTCCTTTGCAGGGGGCGCTATGGCTGGGAAAGGCCTGAAACCCTTTCTCTATGTTTGTATGGGCTTGGGAGACTGTTTGTGATTTTCCTCTAAGGAGAGAGAGATAAATACAAAGATAGATGTATAAACAGATGTATGCTGGGTAAACCATAGACAAACGGGAAGGTAGCTGGATGACAGGTTATTAGAAACACGTTTTTGGAGCTTGCTGTGTGCCAGACACCAGTCTAAATGTGTTCGTCCATTATTTCATATGCATACCTCTGGAACTCTATGAATGGCACGTTACCTCTGTCCCTATTTTCCAAATGGAGCAATTGCGTCCTTAGACAAGGTAAATAACTTGCCTCTTAGCAATTTTCGGTTGAGCTAGAAAGTGGCGGAGCGGGTCTCCATCGAGAGCTCCCGCCTCTGCCGCTGGGTCTCTGCCCCCTCCCTGCCAAGCGGATTTGCGCGCCCTAAGCCCTGGACGCTGCGGGTCCCTCGTCGCTCCCAGGACACCACAGTTCTGGCGTGCCGACAGCACACCCGTCCGGGGACCGCCTCGAACTCGTCAGACACCCCCAAGGACACCTTAGGCAGCGCGCTGGAGGTAGCGATCCCGATTTGGAAAACTGCCCGGGAAGCCGGGAGAGGCGGGCGCCCTCTCGCAGCGGCGGAACCGCGTGCAGTTCCCTGAGGAGTTCGGTTCCAGAAGCTTAGGCTTTGCTGCGGCGCTTGGCAAGAGGTCTCACTCACACGAAAAGGGAAAGCTCAGTCCTGAGATTTAATTTAAGATTCCCGGAAAGTTTCTATCGTTTAACCATTAACTGAGCTCTTACTGTGCGCCGGACATGTGCTGGGACAGATAGATAAATAACGACTTTCGAGATGGCTGTGCTTCGTGCCCCCCGCAACCTCGAGGGAGCCCCAGAGGAGGCGAAGAAGAGGCCTGTTACCCGGTTTGGAAGGTCTCCAGTACTCCAGAAACCTAAATCAGTCCATCTGCCCCTTCTAACGCTCTGCCCCACCTCGGCTCTGTCCCCGGGGCGAGCACCCCAAGAAGTGCAATTTCAGTGCCCTTACCTGCGGGGACTTGATTTCATCCCACTCTTTCCCCCAAATTTCCTAATTACCTTGGTTTGTCACCTGGCGGTGAGGAAAGCCGCAGGCGCTCTCCCACACGGTCCCCTCCCCACGGGGGAGGGGGGCTGGAGCCTCTCGCACACCAGCTGGGACCGACCCCTCCCGTGTCTGCGTCGGCGGGGGTGGCGTAGGGTCTGCGTCAGCTGTAGCCCGCCGGCGATTGGGGCGCACTCACCTCCTTCGGTTTGAGGCTAATTATAAAGTGGGTCCAGCTTCCGCCAGCCCTGGGACAACCAGGAGAGGCAAGGCAGGCGCTCGCAGACCTGCAGTCCAGACCGCGGCCCCGCGACTACACTGACTACCGCGACGGTGAGGCGGGAGCCTGCCTGCGCCCCCGGCAGCTTTTCCCCGACTCCCCTTACTTGACACCTGCCTTCTTCTCCTCTCCCTTCTAGTGCAGTAGCTGGGACTCGGCTTCTTGCACCAAGCTGCGCCACCGGAATAGCGTCAACGTGAGTGAACTTGCCCAGAGCTCGCCCTGGCTGAGCCCTTTTGGGGCCATCCACCTGCTCTGTTTCATTCTGCGTTTCATTGCATGGGGTTCCCAACTTCCTTCCTGTTTGTGCCCCGGGTCAATGTCGCGCCTCTCCTGGCTCCCGCTTTCGCGCATTTGGTCTTTGGCTGTTCCCTCCAGAATCCTGCCCGGAGCAGCAGATGCCCTGGAAGACAGTCTAGTGTCCTGAGCAGCCCTGGACTCGGGGCAACAGTGCCAACCTGGGAACCGCGAGGCGATCAGAGTTGTACCCGGGCCTCTCAAAACAGCATCGGCCGGGCGGGCGGGGACCCAGAAAAGAGCGTCCCAAAGAGTTCTTACTCTCTTGTCCAACCAACTGCCGGCGGGGACCGTCTCCGCGACGGTCCCTCCGAGGAACCCGCTGGCTTCAGGGCAGGCTCCGAGTTCTCGCCCCTCTCTCCCTGCAGCCCATGGCGAGGTTCCTGAGGCTCTGCACCTGGCTGCTGGCACTCAGCCCAGGCCTCCTGACGACTGTACAGGCGGAATGCAGCCAGGATTGTGCGACGTGCAGTTACCGCCTGGCACGCCCGGCCGACCTCAACCCGCTGGTGAGTGTTAGCTATATGGGTGAGCTAGTAGCGGCCACCGCGCGGTGTGTCTTCTGGTCACAATCGGTCCGCATCACCGCGGCCCAAATCTCCAGTGACTCACGTCTCCCGAATGTTCCCCTAAACGCTGACCCAGGTCCCACTTTAGCTCTTAGCTTCAGGGACTCGAGACTACCTAGGTGCCGGTAAGGGCAGTCACGTCCCCACACAAATCCAGTTTATTTGAACCTCGGGGTTACGGGAGCCCACAGTGTGATCTCTTCAGCACCTTGGAGAGCACTGGGTTGTCACCTCACCTGTCCCAAGGAAGATGCTCAGTCACCCCAACTCCTAATATCCCATGAAGGGACACAACCACACTCTCATCCTGCCCGCGGACAATGTCATTTTTTATTAGTGACATTTAGTCGCCTTTTTTCTGATTTAATTTCTCTAGCGCTTTTAACCTGGGTTCCCTCAAACCCTCACCTCACCTGAGGGAGCGAAGGGAAGAGGGAGGGAGGGACACAGGGAAAGGAAAGGGAGCGCTCAGTGGACAGGAGAGAAAGAGATCAGCAGCTGTCTCACAGACAAGTGAAGCTAGAGTTCAACTTCTGTAGTGTCTTGAGCGTGCTTTTGTAAAACCTAGTAAGACAACAGTTTGACCTACCTATGAAAAGTTCACAGGAGAGGTGGCCAGTGTCCAAAGAGGTGGCAACAGTGCACAGATAAACTGCACTGGATGGGAGGGGGCGGTGCTGAGAACAGAAGTCTTAATTCTAACCATAGTCCATGTGCTCTTGAGTGACCACTGATGCTCTGCTGGTCAAAAGTTCTGAATTTGGGGCCGGGAAGCTTCATTTTAACTAACTTCTCGATTAACTATTCTTCTCAATTTGTTGAAATTCTGTGGTGACTTCAACAGCTCCATAAAGAATAATGTATTCTTCTGAGGAGGACTTAAGCTCCTCACTGGAGCCTTTGAAGAAACTTTGTTATGTAGATGTATTAAATAGGGACAAAATTTAAGGAAAGCCATTCAGGTTAAAGGTTTGTTTGTCTGAATTCACCTGAATTCACTTGAATTGTCTGATTCACTCCATTTGATATGTACCTGTGCTAACATAGCCTTAAAGATGAAACAAATAATAGAGCTTTATATTTAAATTACAAAATATGTTGCCTCTTAGATAAAGGTAGTTGATTTGTTTTGTATAGGAGTTTACATTTTGGGTTGTTATATTCTCTGTGGCTAAAGGCTTTACTAATGACTGTGTTGTTAGAATTACAGCAGTTCTGAAATTTTAGCTTGGATGCAAAAACACATATGAGAAATGAGGTTGCCTAGCCAAAACTATGTAGTAAAATCAACATAACAAAATTTTATTGACATTCTACCATGTGAAAGACACTTGTGACTGGTTCTGTGGATGCACAGATATGTCAGCATGCTATGGCTGATGTCCAAATTGAATTTACAGTCAAGGTCTAATATGACCTTGACCATAGGACACAGAGTGTGATAAATACAACAAAAGATGCATAGACATATAAGGATTATATAAAGTCTCATCTCTTTTTTAGTATGGATGAGTTATTCTAATTATTCATCATTTTTTAAGAAACCCTAACATTAAAAAGATTTCTGGTAATAGTATGCAAAATACTCAATATTAATTTTTGGTAAAAAAATCATTTAAATTATATTTTTAAATGAAAATATAGTTGACACCTAGACATCTTAATTTTAATGACATGTTGCTTTCTTAATTAGATATAAAAAAAAACAGGATCACTTTAATTAAATCATCTTTAAGTTTTTATATATACATATATTTAATTTTCTTAGACACAAAACTTAAATAATCACTAAGAGTCAATTAAATATGTACCCTAAAGAATTTTGTTGCACTAATAAAATACTTTCTTACATTCTTAAAATATATATGTATTTTATATCAATTAATATACAAAATATTTTTAAATATCAAGAGAGAACCTGGATTTTCTCAATCAAGGGTCAGTAACCTGGCTTCTATAAGTAAACTTCAGGGCACTATAAAAAAAACCCTGAAATGCTCAGAAATGTTACATGGATTGCATGTTCAAAAATATCACATCTTCATGTAATATTAGTGCTTTTTATTATAGCCAAATGATTTGTTGAATAGAAGAGAATTTTTTTTATTTAATCTTTATTGTATTTTTTCATTACAATTTAGTCCCCTTTTGCCCCCTCCACCCAGCAATCACCACCCTGTCTATTAGAATACACAGCCTAACTCTCACAATGATTAGAATTTAATTATATAATAAAAAGGAAGGAGTTGTAAATGTATCATTTCTATTTTGTCAGTTAACATGGTTTCCATTAGAAATGATATTTTTTCTGTGTAACAGTAACTAAATGCTAAGAAAAAGTAACATGAATAATTTAAACTTTAGCATATGTATGATTTCACATTGGCCCCCATAATTACAAACATTTGGTTCAAGATGATCGAATCTGTTTTAATCAATTAAGAGGAAAGAAAAGCAAAACCTCTACTGTCATCAAATCAGTATGTCAGAATCCAAATAATTAATTTATAGGATTTAAATTGAATTTTTACAATGTCTTTTTTCAAACTTATTTTAGAATTGTTTTTCTAAAGATTGAAATGTTTGTGGGAATATTGGATACCATTACAGGTAAAATATTAACATAAGGAAGTAAACAAACCTTATATCATTAATATTGATTTTATCTGTAAGACAAGAAGATAAAAGGAATTGGGGGATAATTTCCCTAGTTGGGTAAAGAGCAGTTTCTCCCTTTTGATTGAAACACTCAAAGTGAAATCAACAGTGGAAAATTATCCAAAGAAATTAGATTGTGCAGGAAGTCAATCTGGGTTAAAACTAGTTGGAAAGAATCTTTTACAATATTGAAGTAGCATGATATATATAATCTGTTAAAATTCAAAGGAAAATTCTAATTTGTTCCAATGAATTCTCCACAATTTTTCTAAATCAAATTTTCTTTGATTTGCCTGCTCAGTATGATGAAAATTTGTAATAAGAAAATGGAGATTATTGTGTGAGAGTTTTCACATCATAGCAAGTATATTGTGATCCAAACAAATCTGTTTACTTACTAAAATCAGAGAATCCTCTTTTAATCCTTAAATCAAATTCTTGTTCCAGGCTTGCACACTGGAATGTGAAGGGAAACTGCCTTCTCTCAGAACCTGGGACACCTGCAAAGAGCTGCTGCAGCTGTCCAAGCTGGAGCTTCCTCAGGACGGCACCAGCGCCCTCAGAGAAAGCAGCAGGCAGGAGGAGGGCCATTTGCTGGCCAAGAAATATGGGGGCTTCATGAAAAGGTATGGAGGCTTCATGAAGAAAATGGATGAGCTTTATCCTCTGGAGCCAGAAGAAGAGGCAAACGAAGGTGAAATCCTTGCCAAGAGATATGGGGGCTTCATGAAGAAGGATGCAAAGGAGGACAACACCCTGAGCAATTCCTCAGATGCCCTGAAAGAGCTGCTGGGAACTGGGGACAACCGAGAGAGCAGCCACCACCAGGAGGTCAGTGAGGTCGAAGATGTGAGCAAGAGATACGGGGGCTTCATGAGAGGCTTAAAGAGAAGCCCCCAACTGGAAGACGAAGCCAAGGAGCTACAGAAGCGGTATGGGGGCTTCATGAGAAGAGTGGGTCGCCCAGAGTGGTGGATGGATTACCAGAAAAGGTATGGGGGCTTCCTGAAGCGCTTCTCAGATCCTCTGCCCTCCAACGAAGAAGGTGAAAGTTACTCAAAAGAAGTTCCTGAAATGGAGAAAAGATATGGAGGATTTATGAGGTTTTAATACCCTTCCCTGTCAGTGACCCCTGGCCCTAGCAAGCCTTTCTCTGTCCCCCAGTGAGAGACTGCCTTGCCAATCATGTTTTATTGCCATGCATAGCTTGCATTATACAGCTGACTTTGTTGTCTGAATAACTAACGATACAACCTGAAAGCTCTCATTTCAGGTTCTGTGAGCTTTTGAGAGTCTGTAAGTTCAGTACTGGTCTACTGCAGTTGTCTTGTTTTCATGCTAAAAGAGTTTTTGTCACCTTGTTCTTTATTTTTGGCATAGTACCAATAAATGCTTACTTATTTATGGATATAATAAAACCATTACCCCAACTGCATAACATTCTTACAAGTTTCTTCTTCTTCACGGCCTTCATTCACCTTTGAGTGTCTACAGTAAATCCTAAACACAGAAACAGTCAATCCATCTGCTTCCTACAGAATCATCACCAGCCTCCTTCTCCTCCGATAACTGTGGATGCAAAAACAATTTTAACTTAATTTTTTATACATAAAATCTTAGATGAGTAACCACATTAAAGCAAAATAAAATGTATTTTTACTCTCATATCTGAAAATCAAATACATGAAGAAAACTAAAAGCCTAGTAAAGAAACTAGATATTCCATCATATGTATGAAAATCTGTATTTACATCCAAATGTGCACATCTGTTTTTTCACAAAGTATTTTAGCAGTTAATAAGAAATTAAAGATAATTTAGCCCTGTTTGAATAAAGGCAAAGCCCAGAAAGGATAAGTAGTTGGCCCAAGCTTGCCCCACAGTTGAAGGATAGAAGAGAATTAAGTCCCCAAACTCCTTGCTCCCAAGCAATGTCTTTCCCACTCTGATTCTCCATTTCCCATCCACATCACTACCAAGAATTGGGAGAACATGGGACTATGTATTGTTCACTATTACACACGCCTACACCACAGCCACAGTGGGGGCTCCAATGTCTGGTGAATGAATATATGAATGAATAAAATAATGAATGAAGAGATTCAGTGACCAGGTCATTGGAAAAGGCATTATGGATGTTATATAGGGCAAATTCCCAACACACAAAGAGCTTATGACTAGTTCATATGAATTAAACCATAAAGGACAACATTCAGGTACAAAACTTGTAACATTGATTCCGTTTTTCTAATTGAAACTACCTACAGCTAAACTAACTGCTGCCTTCTATCCAGGACCCTCACCCATTGTCTCCTTTGTGTTTTTTCCCCCAAAATCTGAGTTCAGCAGCTCAAGAAAACAGAAGAAGTGTCTCTGATCTGCGCTGCAAGCCCAAGTGCTGCTTTCTGAAGAGGTGGCTCCACTGTCCCAGGCAGTCCAACACGGCCAGAGTTCTCAGGACTGTTCCTGGCCCTGCACCACCAGAAGTCCCCACTCCTCCTGATCAGTACAAGTGTCCACTGCTCACAGAACCCCACCACCACCTCACTTCCCGACCCTTAGCGAACTGACTTTTTCTTCCAGGCCAGAGCTGTCCTCCTTTTGAATGAGCAGTGCATGTAATGTAGGCGTGTGAAGGAGACCAGGAAGAAGGTGAGAAGAGCAGCTGGCCCTTGGTAATCCGCATCAGCAGCATGAGAACTGCTGGGGCTGGAACACATCGGAGAGACGAGGTCCCTTCAGCTTTAGCCAATTGTTTCCCTTGGAAATACCAGCCCCATATGGCCAGACTTTTCCAAAGAATCCTGAAACCTAGATTTTCATGATAATATCCCAAATTTTTAATCTTGCCCATTGATTCCATTGTTAAAACAGTGTTGAGAAAAAATGGCAACGTGGATTGAGAAGTACAAATTGCCATTTATAAAAACAGTTACAGGGATGGAAAGTACAGCATAGGAAACACAGTCAATGATGCTATGATAACCACATCCGGTGCCAAAGGGTACTAGACTTACTGGGGTGATCACTTCATCAGTTACATAAATGTCAAATCACCATGTTATACACCTGAAACTAATATTATATTGTATATCAACTGTGAATTTAAAATAATTTAGTAATAAATACACAAGTAAAAAGCTAAACATAAAAGATGAAACAAGCCCTGGCTGGCGTAGCTCAGTGGATTGAGCACAGGCTGCGAACCAAAGCATCACAGGTTCAATTCCCAGTCAGGGCACATACCTGGGTTGCAGGCCACGGCCCCCAGCAACAGCACATTGATGTTTCTCTCCCTCTCTCTCTCTCTCTCTCTCTCTCTCTTTCTCCCTCCCTTACCTCTCTAAAAATAAATAAATAAAATATTTTTTTAAAGTTTAAAAAATTTTTTAAAAAATGAAACAGCATGGACCAAACAAAACCCATCAGCAAGTCAGATTTGAGAGACTATGGGGCTAATCTTTTGAGAAAAACTGTCACTTAACTCTCTCCCCTAGATCAAAGGGTTCCTAAACCTTGGAAACAAGAATCCAGACTACACCTAGAGACAGTAACAGTAAAATGCCCTCCCTGATAAATTAATAAAATTATTTTATAATCATACATGTGTACATGCTTCATCTCATACAATATGTTTGAGAAAACTCAGTTTCACAATCAAATGAATTCATCATTTTTCCAGGCAAGCACAGTTCTCTGTGCAGGAGCCTTTCTTTTCTGTTTCGAGTTAGCTGTGTAGACCCGGCTGCAACACAGATGATTGTCTGTCCTTCTATTTCACCATCTGTCACCTCTGCTAAGGGCCCTGTGATGCCCAGGCGGGACAGTGTTACTCTGGCGCTTCCTCACTCCCCAAATTCCTGGTGGAGAATATAAAACCTAGAGATGCGCCACAAATGTTTAGGGAGTGAGGACGCAAAGGACGGGGGCAGGGAAATAGGAAAAGGAGGGGCACAGAGGAGCAAGGACGATCAGATAGACGAGATGGTTCCTTCTGTTTAGATGATTATGAGCTCCCTGCTCTTGCTGGAAACACCAAGTGCACCACAACCCTCAGCACCAGGCAGACCTTAGCAGACCTTGACAATAAGTATCAGCAGATGTCCACAAGATGTGGCTCTAAGCCGGCTATGTAGGTCTTCCATGTCCCCAAATATCTCCCATGTTGTCCACCCTTCACTTTGAAATTCCATCATTAGCATTTCTGCACCTTTAACTCTGAGGGCTTTGATTTCCAATAATTTCCTATTTAAATTCTGAGGGGCATTTGCCTAAGAGTCACCTAGGATGCTATTTTAAACATAGCTAACTGGTCTCTGTAATACTCAGCCTGTGCTCAGCACAGATGTTGTGAGTTCTGTAAACAGGGGAGGACTAGGGTTAGAACTAGCCTGGGACTAGGACTTAAGGTTAGATGGACTCAGTCCAAGGTAAGATTGAGTCGAAGGTGACAAGAGGGACTCCAGAAAGCTATGTATGCAAATTGGAATGCAGATCAATCTAACTGCAGGGGGAGCTGCTGCTCCATTCTGGATCTTTTTCTAGTACTTGAGCTCACTCCTCACTTCAATTCCAATCACTTTGGCCTTCCTAATTCCACCTCCAAGCTTGAGTCCTTGCCTGAGTTCCTTCTGAGAGTTAGTAACTCTGTAAACCCTGTGTGTGAACTCCATGGCCAGGCTGCCTGGGCTAAAACCCCAACTAGCTGAGTGATCTGCAGCTCTCCTTGCCACACTTCCCTCATCTGTGCCTTGGTAGGTAAGTAAATGAGTTAATGCATACAGGATGCTTAAGCCTGGACTAGCATGACAGTCGGCAGGCACGGGGTTACAGCTACAGCTATTGCTCAGCGTCCCAGTTCTTACATGCAGGCTTTCTGGACCCACCAGGTGCTATCACCCTACACCTTTAGTGGCTAAGATAATGTCTGTGAGCCTCAGTCCTGGTCAGAGCCAAGGAAGACCCAGGAAGAGGGTTTCCTCTTCTACTGATTGTGTCCCATGAGGCAGAAACTATTTGCAGTTTTCTGTTAATACTCATCTGCACTTTCTCAGTTTTCTACTACAAACATATAAAACCCATGTAATGAAAATGTTATCCAAAAGAAGCATGAAGAGGGAGGGGGTATAAGGGGACTAAATGGTAATGAGAAAAAATACAATGAAGATTAAATAAAAAAATAAATAAATAAAGGCATGAAGAGTCTGAGCTTTGAGCTACAAAGGTTTCTTCTCAGAAGATGGAAGAGGGGTGTACAACTTTGAATACTGTGAATATCTGGGAGTTTTCTTGAGATGTACATAAGCACCTCACATGAATCAGTTCATTCATTCAACAAATAATGGAGCTAGCTACATGAATATCCAGTGGAAAAGCATTGCCAACTCTGAGGGAACAATGAGTGCAGTGCCCCAAGGGGGCACATGAATGATTAGAGAAAAAGGGCTTATGACCTCATGTAGGTATGGAAAGGTGTGGAAAGGCCTTCAGGGTTTGATCTAAATGTGATAGAAAACAGTTTGTGGTTGAGAGCCAGCCAGGGTCAAGGTAGGCTGCTGTGTCGAAACCTCAGTGTCTGCCAAGTAGAACAAATTTCCTCTCCCATTCCTCCAAGAGAAGAATGTATTAAGTATGTCATTATTTTATATCCTTCAATACATCTTGGTTTACCTGGAAATAAAAAAGTCATATAAATGCTCATGTTTTATAATAAAAATGCAATAAAAATTTTTCTTTATCAATTTCTACACCAAAAAAATAGAACTTAAAATGCTCACTAATTGCTTAGCAAATGAAAAACAAACAAAAAATCATGTATTATTGACCAGCAACCTGTGTCTCTGCAGGGAAGGAAGTGCAAAAATCACCTCAGCAGAGGGAACCTGGCAGTAGCTTAAACATACCCATCCATGTCGTGTTCTTACACTTTTTCTTTTAACTTTTTTTTACCAGGTATAACATGTCTACAGAGATGCCCATAAATTGTAGGTGTGCTTCTCACTGAATTGCTATGAAGGCGAACATACCCAGGAACCATCATGCAAGTCAAGAAACAGAACATCACCAGCACCCACCTGTGCCCCCTCCAAATAACTAGTCTCCTTTCTCCCCACAGGTAACCCTTCTCTTGACTTCTATCACCATAGATTAATTTTCTGATTTTGAAATTTTCTATAAAAATAAACATACTTTTTCTAACTATGTGATTCAACATTATGTTGAGATTCGCCCACGCTGTTGCACATAGCTATGGTCTGGTATTGTTATTGCCATATGGTATTACATTGCATAACAATACTGCAAGTTCTGTTCTATTATTGCTGGAGTCTCTGGTTGTTTTCAGTTTGGGGCTATTGCAAATGCTACTGCTATAAGCATTCTTGGCCGTGTGTCTTATCACATGTAGTGTATTTCTCTTGGGTA